GTAACTTGGGTACCTCAAGGTTTTATCCCTATGGTCCTATTTCTTATATTTATCAATGTCTATATAATGTCTATATATGTCTACATAATAGTAAATAACATGTCTCAAATCGACATATACAGTTGTTTACTGTATGTCGCTGCATGCTCTAATAACTTTTATTTGTCTAGTTTTTTTCCTCGCATTTCAACCGTTTGGAATTCTCTCATATCTTCATGTTTTCCTGACTTATACAACCTACAACTTTTCAAGTCTTCTGTCAACTGTTTCCTTGCTTTGTAACTCCCAACTTAATAGTGGTTGTTCCAAGTCTTGTTGGGAGTAAATCAGAATAAAATAATAAAATTTAAAAAAATAATAAAAGTAAAAATGCAAAAAATGTCTTTCATAGTTTAATTTAATAACCTTTAGATTAAAGCATTTAAACTTTCAGATAAATATACTTTATAAAAGTCATAACATCATTAAAAAAATTGAGGTATTTTTTTTTTGGTAGAAATGTTATATACTATTTTTTTTTTTAATGATAATGTGGTGTATGGGAGAAGAGTATGACCATTAATTTCTTTGTTTCTTTATTGCCTTCAGCTCAGTTAGAGTTTTGCTGTCCTCAGCATATATTTTTTTATTACATGAAAAGTTAACAAAAGTTGTTTATGAATATTTTAAATAAAAGTGGTTTGTGTACTGATCTTTGTATTCCACATAACATCTCATTACCATGTTGTTGCAATGTGATAATTTTATTAGTTAATAAATCTTCCATTATGGAGTCACCAAAATACTTTCCATTATTTTACTAATGACTGATGTGATTGAAATGGTCCTGTAAGTACTCGCAATAAATCTGCTTCCGCAAGAGATGGTCTTAGGTAATAGGAGATTATTCATTTGTATTATGTGCATTGTATGTTCAAGATTTTTCAGAAATTGAGTTTTTCACACTGGCAAATTAAAAATATAATGGGTATTTTCTGTGCAATGTCAAATTGCATGTTTTTTGATTGCATTAATTTGCTGGCGATATTGACCCGAACCAATTAATCGTACGAAGTGGCTAAAATAATCAAAAATGGAAAGTTTTAAATTTGTTTTTGTCAGTCTAGGTGATTTGGTCCTTGCTTTTGTATTGTTGGCATTGTTAGACACTTTCACCAATTCATCTTACATTGCTGCTATTTGGTAACTAACAGCTTTCAGACTATCTATTCTGTATTTCCGAATTATATCAGAAATTGACTTTACTGTCAGATTTTGTACATGAGTTTTAATGATCTGCTATCGCTGTGTTAAAGGTCCAAACAAAAGATAAGTTATACAAAGTTTCAAAAGATGCCATTGCAATGACCGATGATTTTGTCATGTCTCCAAGAAATAGATTGAGACAGTGACGTCCACATAGCTCATGTAGATGTCGCGCAAATGATTTTGGATTAAGTTTAAGAATATGTTATTGTACACCATGATAGCAGTCTTTCATATTTGCTAGGTCATTATATCCTCGGCCTCTGCACTTCCGCAAATTTAAAAAAATGATCCTCAAGTTTCCTGTAAGCAAGCTTCTGCAAGACCTAAACCAATGCTGCCAAGTATACAGTCTTAAATGATGGATTTTTTGTGAGGCAGCTTCTGCCAATTAAATTTTTAATTTGTTTTCTCTACGTAATTATATGACTTTCTTTCTACTTTTACTTAGTTTCTTTTTTAAGGCATGAATGGTATTTTTCTTACAATTCGACCAATTTCAAAAAAATTCTTTTATTTGGTTACCAAATTGAGTTAAAAATTGAAAATAATAGTCTTTATCTTTCCAATAAATTCCGATATTTTGGCTCTAATTTGAATTGCTTGAACCTGTACTTTCCGTGTCTATGAATTCTTTCTGTATATTAGCCGGTTCATTGACCACTTCTTTTAAAGTAATCTGACTTCTTTTACCACATGTTAAATAATGGAAAAATAATTGAGAATTCTCTTCATTCTAAACATCTGAAGTTGGTGTTGATAGAGTGGCTGCTAACTTGTAAAGAAATTTAGCCTTTGTGTTGCAAGAAGCGCCTCCTCTGCTTTTCTTTAATATTTTTAAAGCATCTCTTTGCGTTGCAACAATCCGTTTTGATAACGTTTGGACTTAAAAGAAACTTTGAACATTTTCATTAAAAGAAAGCAACATGGTTAAATCCAAATTTTTTAAATTAATTAAATTACCTATTTAAGCTTTTGGTTATATGAATAGTTGAAAACTGACTAATATTCATTTTTTTCTTATATTTTAGTCCTATTAGTTTTCTTACTATCATAACCAAGGTTTTTGAGTCTTTAACAAACACTTAGTCTCTCTTAAATCTTATAACTTACTTTCTGATTATCAATATGCATTTCGATCATCTCTTTCTACTTCTGATTTGTTAACAGTAGTAGTGGTTTTCTGATTTGTTAACAGTAGTAGTAGTGGTTTTATTGTACATTAAATGTGGAGAGGCTAAGGCTTTTGACATTTTTTAAGCTTTTAATAAAGTTTGGCATGCTGATTTTCTCTATAAGCTCTCTTCTTACGGTGTATCAAGTAACATCTTTAAGATTATTGAATCCTTCTTTACAATTCGTAGTATAAAAGTTGTCCTCAATGGACGGCACTCTTCTTCATATCGTGTAACTTCAGCGGTTCCTCAAGGTTCTATCTTCGGCCCTATACTTTTTTTAATTTACATTAACAATCTCCCAGAAATTCTCACATATAAGGTGGTATTGTTCGCTGATGATACTACCATTTATTCTTGTCTTGATAAGAAGCCAACTCCCTCTGATTGCTTGGAGGGAGCATTTGAGCTTAAAAGGGATCTCGCTTCTGCAACAGCATGGGGCTCCCAGTGGCTGGTCAACTTTAACTCAGATAAAACTCAATTTTTTTAAGCTAATTTTTTAAGCTAATTTTTATGGCATTTATCTAAATCTTCCTATATCTATGAACGGTAATGAACTCGATGATATATATATATATATATATATATATATATATATATATATATATATATATATATATATATATATATATATATATATATATATATATATATATATATATATATATATATATATGTATATATATATATATATATATGTATATATATATATATATATTATATATATATATATATATATATATATATATATATATATATATATATATATATATATATATATATATATATATATATATATATCAAATATATCAAATCAATCGCAAAATTACCACTGCTAAGGTTGCATCTCTTCATCGTACTCACCACTTTTTTACTATGTATTCTATTCTTTATCTCTATAAATCTCAAATCAAAAAAAATGTTTGGAATACTGTTAACATATCTGGGACGATTCTTCCAATTATGCCCTTTCTCTTTTAGACAAGGTGCAAAAACGCATTGAAAACATAGTTAGACCTGCTCTTGAAGCCAACCTCCAACCATTATCACATCGTAATGTTGCTTCTCTTTCTCTTTTCTACAAATACTATAATGAACAGAGCTAGCTTCTCTTGTGCCATTCTACTAAAAAAAAAAAAGTTCTTTTCCTGTGACAAGACCTAAGGGTCTTGTCACAGAGCATCGTGGAAATCCATTTAACTAGGAAGTTAACACCTACCTTACCGTGACTCGAAAATATGTTCAGAGTTCGTTTTTGAACCTGGATCTCCTAAATCTTTTGAAGCAAGCGCTCTAACCACTGCGTCGCGGCCGCATCTCGTGCTGCTTGTCATTCAATTAAGTCTCATATTTTTTCTGTGACTGTTCCTAAAACTTGCTTGCAGCTTTGTTGGAAGTGAGGATATTTAAAAAAAAAAGAGCTTTTCATTCGTTTAATAAATTGGCGATAATCTTCAAAGAGTTTATTTAACTATAAAACCTCTTTGATAATTGTGATGAAAAACAATTTTCTTTTTGTCGTGTTTTTTTTTTTTGTGTGTGTGTTTTTTTTTTGTTATTTTGTTGTTTTTTTAGTATCATTTTCAATATTTTATTTATTTCATTTTATTCAATAATTCATTGAATTATTTTTTTTTCTAAATAACTTTATTCTTGGATTAATTTTAGTTTTAAACTCTTTTAGAGGTTTTAAATTTCATTTCTCCTATTTATCAACTATTAAAAAAAAGATTGCAAATAACAAACTTTGGTCAATCTTTCCTCCTTTTTAATAAAATTAAAATATGAATGCAATTGCAGTTTTATTTTTGGCAGCTTTTCCACTTTTAGCAGCAAATAAAAATAGGATGTAAATAACAAATTTTTTTGACAATGTCTCTCTTAACAGCAAAGATTTTTAATTTTATTTATTTATTTTTTAACTCCCAAGACAAGGGAGATCACTACAGTCGAGCCAAGAATAGAGGTCTCTACAATCGAACCAAGGAGGTCACTACAGTCGAAGAGGCTGCTTATATGATAAATATAAGCAGCCTCAATTATATAAATAAGTGAAAAAAGAGTGCAAATAACATTTTTTGTTATCCTTTCTTTTTTTTTATCTTTTCCGCTAAATAAACAAATAAACAATAAATAAACAAAATGGAAGTATAAAAAGTTTATTATAACTTTTATAATAATGATTTTCATTAATGTTTAAATTTTTTTTATCTGTGTACTTCTTAATGAATAACAAATTTGTTTAAAGTTTATTTGAAGTATTTTGATATGTTTTGCTAGAAGATTTTTGTTATAAATTCTAGATTTTGTTATAAAATCTTGTAATGCTCAAAATATTATGGTCGACGACACGGGTTTCGAAGTGGAGGGGCACAATCATCTCTTTCTATAAAAAGTCCTCTATATGTAGAGCTTTCTCTAAAAGAAAAAAAAAGTCCTTTGGAGAAAAAAATGGGGGCGTATGCTCCCCCTTTCTTTCCCGGCGTCGTCGGCTCTGAATATTTGTTTGCTTTTTTAGCTGTCTTTTAAAAATGATCTTATATTCTATATGACTAATTACTAAAATTAATGTTCTAGTGCGATCCGAATCTTCGTGTTTTTACAGTATGGGTGGATACCCTTGATCCTCGTCTACCTCGTTTGGGGTTATTTGCTCTTCGCGACATAAAACAGGGAGAAGAGTTAACATTCGATTACACTTGTGGACAAAAGGAGTCAAAAACATCTAACGAAATTAAAATGTACTGTGCTTGCGGCGCACCTAATTGTAGAAAATATTTGTTTTAAATTTGTATTGTACGATTTATTTACTTAACGAGATGATTCAAAAGTTTTTATTATTTAAATTATAGGAGACAGTAAAAACTATTTTAAAAAAAGTTTTGAATTTTATTTTTGTTGTTGTTGACTAAAAGTTAAAGATGGTGTTTTATCATACCGTTTTATCAAATATTGGAGTTGCAACCTATTGTAAAACAATTAACTGACCACAGTGGACCAGAGAGACCGCCAGGTTTTATGTCGTGTCAATTGAATGAAACCTTTTTTATTTAAGAGTATTTATTTTATAATAATAGAAAAAGTTGTTTTTAAAATCTAATCCAAGTGCTAAGGGTCCCAAATGGGGCAAGAGGGAAGATTGAGGGGCCCCAAACCCATTTAGGATTTTTTTTTAATTTTTAAATTATTTTTTTCTTCCAGAATTTAGTTTAGAAATTTAGATATGCAAAATTATTAAAAATTTATTTTATTTTATAAGTCAGGTACAGCGCCCCCAAGATCTAATAAAAAATATAAAACTATTTAATTTTTTTCAGTTTTTTTTTATAAATCTTTTTTTTTAAATTTATTTAAATAAATAAAATAAAATTTAAAACATAAAAATCACTAAACATAACTAACTCTTCTTCCGTTAAAGTCAATCACAGAAGAGAGGAGTCTTCCACCATACTCTTTGTTTGCAACATCTCGCTTGAACCTGCTCCACGTTGGTTTGAATTTTGAATGAACAGATTCTCCACATTGTTCAGCATACTTGGATAAGCCACATTTATGGTATTCAACAAAAGGTTGCACATGACACAAGAGTATATGTACTTTCCAACTAATTGAAAGTTTTTTTCTAAGAATACCTGCAATTTCTTGAGCAGATAAAAAGGAATTCTTAAATTTGAGAATGGCTTGCTGATACCCAAGCTCAAGTGTTCTACCAAAACAAGAATCTTTTACAATCTTAAAGTCTTTTAAACATTGAATAATTGGCACAAGATCAAGATATTCATATAAAACAGCTCTTTCTAACTCATCAACACACTTTAGTATATGGTTTGAGTTATTCCCATCCCAACCCCTACCTTGATATCCTCTCTGTATAACCCCACAATTTTTCAAATAATTATCAAAACCGGGCCAGAGGTCCATTAATAAACATCCTAGTGTTGTTACTATTCCTATTAGGATATGTAATTCAGGAGGAGGTACTAAATGTTGGATTAATGTATCTGGATCTTCGTCAAGGTAGAGAATTCTTGGATATATCACGTTCATATAATGTTTCATATTAGATTTCCTTGAACTATTTTCAACAGTGTATCTTTGATACCAATAGTCAAGGCTTCCAAGTGTTCGCAGTTTACCACAAACTTCACTTGAATCTCCTTCACACCAAAGACAAGCTTTTTTGCCTGCTTGGCTTGAAATTCCAAAAACTGCATTAGCACATTTCAAATCAAAAGCTGCTGAAAACTTTACATCTTGTAAATTGAGTTTCTCTAAAATTATTCTTAAATTGAAATTTGACTCTTGCACATCTTCAACTATGGAGAGGATTTGACAGCGTTGTACACCACTATTTAAGTATAAATTTGAAGATGTATTTTCATTAACATCAAAAACATTTACAATTACTTTCATGAAACCACCTCCTCCATCCATAGATATACGAACAAAAGCTGACTGGGGATCGAGACAACGTTGATTTATTAAGTCTAGAATAAAACTAGATGTGTCTTGAACAAAAACAAGATCTTTTATAGAAGTGCCATCACTACTATCAAGGAAGTTGACCTAAAAAATAACAATAAATTTTAGGAAAATTTTTAACGCTATAACTAATTTTCAATACTGAAAGATATAAAATTGCTACCTTTTCGACTTGATAAAAATGCGATAAAGACTCTTCTAGGTCACTCATTTTTCCAAAAATGTTGTTTTCAACGGCCAACCTACTTCCCATTCCTTTTTTCGAAGAGTAGATATTAATACCCCAGTTTTATTTAGGGAAAGTTCTAAAACTATTTGAAGTTCCTTAATCATCTGAAGGGATACTTGTTTTACTGAACTAGGCATAAATGAAAAAAATATTACTATCTTCTCATTTAATAAATATGTACTCAACAGTATATAAGTACCTTCTTTTTGCTTTGTTATCAGGGCATCCAACTGTAATCATCAATGGATTTCCGCCAGAAGACAAAATAAATTGTTCCCCATTTGCAATTTCGTCAGTCTCCATCTTTGCTTTTATTATACTCGATGCAACTTGCTCTGCTTGCAAATTTCCTAAACTTAATGCTAATAAAATCAGGTTCTCTACTGCAGATATTGAATAGCAGTTGTGTAAATACCCTTTCGCAATAGTTGAAAAACATATACTACATAATTTGGATGACACACTTGAGTTTGACAAATTAGGAACTTCCTGGGTATGAGTTGTCAAAGATGAAGTTGTTCTTGTCATCATCTTCCATTCAACCTTGAATCAAATTTAAAAACTTTTAGTTATATACTAATAATTTAATAACTATATATATATACATATATATATATATATATATATATATATATATATATATATATATATATATATATATATATATATATATATATATATATATATATATATATACATTTAGTTTATTCTGTATATATATAAATATATATATATATATATATATATATATATATATATATATATATATATATATATATATATATATATATATATATATATATATATATATATATATATATATATATATATATATATATAAATAGATAAATATATATATATATATATATATATATATATATATATATATATATATATATATATATATATATATATATATATATATATATATATATATGTATATATATATATATATATATATATATATATATATATATATATATATATATATATATATATATATATATATATATATTTATATACATATATTTATAAATATACATATACATATATATATATATATATATATATATATATATATATATTTATATACATATATTTATAAATATACATATACATATATATATATATATATATATATATATATATATATATATATATATATATATATATATATATATATATATATATATATATTATATATATATATATATATAAAATATATATATATATTTATAAAACATATATAGTTATTGAAGCTATAATTTGTTTAATATTTACATACTTTAGCAATCTTTTCTCCCCATGAACCTCGATGAGGTTTTCCAGCCTTAAGTAGGTAAAGATTTCTCTGACACCCAGAACATATAACATTTGGATAGCTGCACACATCCAGAGAAAATCCTGGATAAACAAACAGCTTCATCATTTCTTCAACAGTTGAATTTACACTGATTAAAGATTTGGACCTAGCTCCAAACATTTTCCAACAACAACAGCATACAGCATCTCGTTGAAAAGCAATATTTTCCATTAACAAGTTGAAAAAGAACAAAACATGCACTATTTTTTATAATCTGCAATATAAGATATTATAATAAAAATAATATACATTTATAGGTATCATAGAATCATAGAGTCTTATAATATAATATAGAGTATTTTCTATTAAATTAAATTATATATTAAATTCTATTCTAAGATCTATTAAATTATATATGTATATTATGTTATATTCAAATATTATAAAAGCGCAATACCCACATATAAAACAGTTTTTATGCCATCTTTTTTGCGATTGTATAAACTTCTTTATAATCGCGTAACCTGGATTTTATTTGCTATGAAAAAGCATTAAATTTTTAATGTGGCTTAACTTGTCATTATTAGTTAACATTTCTTAATTAATAAAAATATTGTGTCTACTTTTATTTCCATCATTTAAAAAATATTAGCTACTAAATTTTTCCTTTATAATAATTAGTCAAACATTTTTCAGCAATTAGATATTGATGATAATAAAAACCAGTTTTTTCAAACACCATAAATTGTTACTTTATTCACGTTAATTTGTTAAAGGCGCAAAATGGAATTTTTTAGAAGATGTTGATTTTTTACATATATTTTTAATTTCAAATGCAAAATAGACCACTTGCCAGTAACTTTCAGACCTATGTTTTTATATGATTTCTAATCAGTATAATATTTTCAATTATAGCCAATCATAAAAATGGGTGGGTGTAAAACTATCCAAACACCCTATTTTGGCCCATTTTTGGCCCTTAGCACCTTATTTGAATTTTAAAAACCATATTTTTAATACATGAACTACAAATACTCTTAAATAAAAAAGGTTTCATTCAATTGACACGACTTAAAACCTGGCGGTCTCTCTGGTCCACTGTGTGACACGAAGTTACGAAATATTTTCTTATCTTTTACTAAGAAATATAAAACTATAAGATTACTAAAAATATTTTTAGTCAGATATAATGTAAGAAAAAAAAAAAATAGCAATAAGGAAATAAAATAAAATTTTCAGTTTTGTTGTAGGGGAAGACTGTAAATAGGGCACGGTTATTAAGACAAAAAATAAATGTAAAGAATTGTAGAATTGTAACGCGGGGTAACATTTACAGGTGGGTATCATTGACACGTCTTATATTAAATGTTTTTACCAGTCACCAGTTTGACTATTGTTTAAATTATTTTAACCGACACAACAGCAATATGTTGAGTTAACAAAAATAGCTATTTTTATCAACATAATTGTAAACATAAATAATGGCCCAACACAGCAAACACAAATTAAACTTATATTTAAATTTTTTAGCGTTAAATAACTTTATAAGGTAAGTTAAACTATACTATAGTATAATTTTAAATGTATTTTAATGATGTTATTTCTAAATGCTAAGCATTTAAAATGATTTTTAGTATTTTTTTGTTTAAAACGTGCATTTCGGTTTTATGGTAACATTGAAAGGATTGTCAAAGTTACTTCATAGGTCTGTTAAAGTTTTATCATAATGTGTGATTATTGTCATTACGCTTTAAGTAAATGATTGATTTTTTTAGAGTATATGATCACATGATATCATGCCTCTCAACTACATAAAAAAAAAAAAAGTTTTGTATTATCGGGAAGCCGTAAAGGAAATTATTAATGAAGTAAGTGAAAACAATGTCAGCATACAGTATTGGACAAAACATTTGTAACCAACATCGAACAATGCTTAAAAGTGTTCCTAATTTTACATGTCTTAAAAACAAAACGAACTATACTACCGCAGCAAACAGTTCAGGAGTTTAGAGTCATAGCATGCCATGACATGAGCAATCAGCTGACAGGTGACAGCACACAGGCAGAATTTCGTTGACAAGTGCCCTTTTGCAGTGGACAAAACAAGGGCAACTTTTGTGTTTTGTTTCATTTTCTTAAGTCTGGTCCGTGTCAACGTCACGGAAGTTTTTTAATAATTAAAGGAAGTATCCAATAGCTTCCAGAAGTTTCCAGAAGCATCTGGAAGCATCTAGAAGTATCCAAAAACATTCAGAAGCATCGAAAAGAAGCATCTAGAATTTTCCAGAACAGGTTCATTTTACTATATAAGAGATATGTAAACCGACATGTAATTCAGTCAGTATATGGAAGTCAATCAGTCAGTATTATCAAGACAGTTTATAGAAGTGAGTTTTATCAAAGTGTTTTATCGAAGAACATCAATACAAGAAGTGAAATACAACAAGTGTTTCATTACATCAATACAGTCCACATCCAACCAAGTTTCTGTGTTCCACAGAGCATTATTGTATCATCACAAGGTAAATGTAACAGGGTGAGCCTTAAGAAGCGTGATTATTTATTTTTATGAATTCAAGTGCAAAAATGGCTCCTGACAGTCTTAGATTATTACTAAGAAATAAAATTTTTGGCGAAAGTGGAATGTGACAAAAAAGTATTTGTGATAAATATCGCGTGAAAATATGGACCGTATCAAGACTATGTTCCAAATATTGTTCTACGGGGAAGTTGGCAGCAGATAACAAAGGTGTTAATATAAATTCTGGTATAATGTTTCGAAAACAAAATGTTTCGGAAACAAATTGATGTGCGTTAATAAGTTGTGAACTTTTTTGCAAAAATCAATCAACTTCAATCAATCATATCGCTCGATTGCTAAACGTACAAATCTCCCAAAATCTACAGTGATAGATATTAGAAATAAGCTCAAGACTACTTAAAGCTTTCAAAGAAAACTTTCAATAAATCCAAAGTAAAGTCGGTTTTACGTTCAATAGCAAGAAATCCGATCGAGTCACAGCGAGATCTGGTAAGAAAGTTCATGGTTTTGCGTTCTTATATCAAAAAAAGTACTTAAAAATGCTGGAACTAAAGCAATTCATTAGAAAAAACTTAGAGAGCCTAAAAGAAGCTTAAATGGTGAAATTAGAGGGTTTCAATGCGCAAAGAAGTTGATTAGAATAATAGCAGATAGAAGTATATGTATAATTGAAGACGACGAAACATATTGCAAGGCGAGTTTTTCACAACTTCCTGGATAACAATTTTACTATGAGAACAAAGATAAATCTTTTGATGATCAATTTAAATATATTTGACGAGAAAAATTTGCACCCAGGCTGCTTGTTTGTCATTAAATTTGTAGCTGTGGTATGCAGTCCTCTTGTTTTGTCACTAAGAAGACCTTAAATGCTGATCTCTTGCCAAAAAAGACTGTTGCCGTTTATAAAAAACACAAATACCGATGTCTAATTCGGCCAGATCTTGCTGCTTCTCACTATACTAAAAAATGTTCTACAGTGGTGCAAAGATACTAATGTGAAAATTATTTCTAAAGATGCGAATCCTCTAAATCGTCCTAGAGAGCGCAATATTGAAGATTTTTGGGCAACAGTTAAAGGAGTTCTTTGTAAGACAGGTGGGGTAACAAAAAATAAAAAGGACTCTCAAAAAAAGTGGATTAATGTTACCAATAGATGAAAAAAGAAAAAATCTGCGAAATGATGGCATCAACCCACTATAAATTTCAATCTCTTGCTAAGCAGCCCATCAAGCCCCTTAAAACTAAATTTAAACTATAATTGATGTAAATACATTTAATAATAATAATAAAAATTGATACAAAAAACATTTATGGTTTTAGAGAAATCTCATTTTAAAGTTGACCAGATTTATCCGTGTCCACCCGATATATATATATATATATATATATATATATATATATATATATATATATATATATATATATATATATATATATATATATATATATATATATATATATATATATATATATATATATATATATATATATATATATATATATATATATATATATATATATATATATATATATATATACACACAAGTTGATTGATTTTTGCAAAAAAGTTCACAACTTATTAACGCACATCAATTTGTTTCCGAAATATTTTGCAAATCATTGATTTGTAAACGAAAGTTTATAAACACAATTTAAGATAAGAAAGTAACGTTTATTTTAACCCAGTGGGCACACGACGTTATTTCGACGTTGATTTACGGTTGATTTTTAGTCGCGACTTCGTATAACCCAAATTCAACATTGTATCAACGTTGAAAATTTGTTTAAAAACTATCAGTTAATATCGACGTTGATTCCACGTTAATTCAACGTCTATATTACAAGTTCGACCGTTGGTATTGCATTTTGAGAACTCAAATACGCATGCGTGACTTTACTAGTTATTATAAGGCCTTATGTTGTCTTTTTAAAAGGTTAATGTAATATTGTTAAATTTCACAATTTAACAATATCACATGGTTTAACTTGGGCTGCAGTTAGTTAAATAAATATTAAATAGATATTTTTTTATGACGGTAATATTTCATGAGTGTGGATTACAAGTAGACTTTGCTTGAATTTTTCTTACAGTTTTTTAAGTAAGTTTTTTTTTAGAATTTTATTAAATGGTTTTTCTAAGTATGTTAGTATATTTAAATTTACTAATTTTATATTATATAAACATAAAATATATTATATATATATATATATATATATATATATATATATATATATATATATATATATATATATATATATATATATATATATATATATATATATATATATATATATATATATATATATATATATATATATATATATATATATATATATATATATATATATATATATATATATATATATATATATATATATATATATATATATATATATATATATTATTTATATTATACCAATATTATTTACCAAGTAATATTTTGATGGTTTAAAAAACCTCTAATGACAAGGGCGTAACAAGCAAAAAATTAAGTTTCCCTAAACAACAGAAGGAACTATTATACTATATATATATATATATATATATATATATATATATATATATATATATATATATATATATATATATATATATATATATATATTATATATATATAGTATAATAGTTCCTTCTGTTGTTTAGGGAAACTTAATTTTTTGCTTGTTACGCCCTTGTCATTAGAGGTTTTTTAAACCATCAAAATATTACTTGGTAAATAATATTGGTATAATATTATTGGTACT